ATGATTGTTATCTGTAGGTCATCACGTGACTGTTATCTTTAGGGCATTACGTGATTGTTATTTGTAAGTCATTGTGTGACTGTTATTTGTATGGCATTGTTTGACTGTCATTTCGTAGGTTCTATTTTATTTTTTTGCTCAACTTTAATGCTTTAATATGTATCTATTTATTTACTTAATAATCCATGCTTTATACATACTTCAATTATTTTGTTCTATGTATGTCAAGATAGTAAGAACTAGTTATTGTTTTTTTTGAACTTTCTTGATCATATTTTTTTAAAATGGAAATGTTATCTATTTTCTATTACAAATGACCAGAATAGGAACAGAGCAGGAGAACATGGAAGATTTGCTTTGTGTGCTAAGGTCCAGTGAGGCTTCAACATTGGCATTAACATCCACTGTAAGTGGACGCAATTGCATGTCATACACAACATGTTACGGAGAGAAAATGAGTTGGATGTGATGAAGAGAACATGCTTTGGGAATCTGATGGATGTTGAATAAAAAAAAAGTTTATTTTGCAAGTCTCATACACAACCTACTACTGTGTATAATCAATTAACCCGAGGCCATCGATGGTGAGTTATGGTTTGCCATTGGCAATACCAAAGCTCAATTCTCCAAGTGTAAGTTCTGCCTGATGATGGGACTCAAGTTTAGCTCCATGTAAGCCGTTATATCTAATCCTTACAAGGTTGTCCCTGGAGGAATTCACGAGTAATATTAGGAAGCAAGTAACTAGGTAAAGCTACAATAGGTGTTAGATACTTTCAAGAGAGGGTAGTTTTAGCAAGATGGAGACATAACAAAAATGGCACTCGTCTTGATCACAAACAATATTTTATTTGGTCAAGACTACAGACAAATAATGACTCAATGCTATTGTCGATGGTCAAGACCATAAACTACTGGAATGTGTTCCCATGGGACACCTATGTATGGAGTCTGACCATGGATTATATAATGAGGGGCATCCAAGCTCCAATTGTGGGAGCGGAAGAAAAGAAACCTTACTAACTCTGTGAATTTGATTGGGTGCTCTAGGTAGTGTGCCTTAAAGTTTTCCATTTTCCTTTTCACATAAGATTTTATTAGGTGATTATAATGTTTTACAATTGATGTGCAGTTCTAGGCATTGGAGGTGATTCTTAAGATCCAAAGCTGGTTTGGATCTCAACACCAATATGAAAAAGTTTATCCAAGAATGCAGAAATGACATTGTGAAGAGATGCCCATAGGTTTTCACAACCTGATTGCAGGTTTAGAGAAAAAAGGCAAAGTGAGGAACAAAATTATATTATTTTTATTATTTTTAATTTTTTTTCATATGTTAACTGGCTTTCAACTTAATGGTAATGTGTGTTTTGGAACAATTACACGTATTAAGAACCTTGAAGCCAACTGTGAAAAACAATTTGAAGGCATATTGGGCTGACATTGATGTCCTTTTATTCGAAAGGCATCAGTACATTCCATTATTCTATGGTCCAGCAGAATTCGATCCCAAACAAAGGAAGAAGACCATGGAGCATAAGGAGAAAAAGGTAAGAAGAGCATTAAGTAGAGGCGCATCACGGGCGAGGAGGTTAATGCCCATCTTGGTGCTTTGAGGCTCCTATTGCTCCTAAGGCTTATGCTGCTCAATCATTGGATAATGATCAGATGTGCAACCTAATGCTGCATCCTCATGTGCATACAGGCTTAAAGTAAGAGATGAAACTAATGAGGACGTAATGGAAGAAGGACTTTTAATCATTGTAGATGCAAATGCAATCAATATAAACAGAGGTGTAGTGAGACATGTAGATGAGTTAATGTAGCTATAGATCTAGCAGGAAATGTGATTGCTGGAAGACCGAATTGCTCATCAGCTACTCGACCATTTTCAGGTATGAGCTTTTATCTATTTTCATTGTGTGACTTATAGCATTTATAATGTATTTGGTGTTTTAATGTGTTTAATTTTTGTCACTATGTCTAGTCGATCTTTTGGTCAATAGGATGGTGCACGCAATGAAGAGGGCATCAGTATTGGGGTTGATCTTGATGAATCAACTAGTATTAATAATCCAATTGTTTCGACTCAAAACTCACCTCTTGTTACCCCATACACAGTTCCTCTTGAAAGCTTCACTCCAACTGAAGCCCCACATTCTGCTCGTAGTCCAACTCTACTTGCCCCACATCTTGCTTGCAGCTTAACTCCACCTGTGGCCCCCTACCAAGCTCAAAGGACACCTCTGGAGACTCGACCTCCACCTCTGGTTAAAGATGCATGACTGAGCATGGGTAGCAAATACCTTCGAGGCCCATACGTTAACCAATTATTAGTCCAACGCAAAGCGAAGGATGCATTGAAGGACAAACATGAGTGCCTCATGCAAAACAAACAAGCTAGGTAAAATGAGAACATTACATGATATTAGGCTTAACGGTTCAAAGTTATTGAATCCATTGACCTTTTAACATTGGTATTTTATTTATGTAGGGTTAACATTTTGGGCATCAAAGGGCATGAGGGTTCTTAATTTTTTAGCCATTTGGAGAAATAGAATGAGTTACAAAGCAACCAACACATTGATGCATGCATCAACATCATGTGTAAGTGCGCTCGTGACCACCATCCCCAATTGTACAAGTAGAAAGTATGCATTATTGACACGAAATTCTATGTAATTATATTATAATGAGTTTTAATTATTAAAATATTTGTTAAGGGTTTTAGTTTATGGCGTTTAACTATTGAGCGTAACTTAATTCACATTTGATTTTTCTTGGCCTGAGTCGTGAAATACGCCCTCCACCGTCTAATAAGAATTTCAACCCTACAAAGGTGGTTCTGCTTGAACATCTGCTTAATTATGCCAAGGGTGAGAGTCCACCGTGAAGAAGCCATGGCCACTAAGTTTTAATGCATATCAACTTGGTGAAATGGAGTATGACATTAGTGGACTCTTCATACGATTGTCATGATGCAATTCAGTTCGACTTGTGTGATGAATAAATGGATCTCTAACCGCATTGTTTCCCATTATATGCCACTAGACCAAGCACTTTGATAGCGTGCATTGTAAAACGACCTTGGATAAGGATGTGCTGGGAATTAAATGAACAAATCCTGAAACAGAAGGAAGAGAACAGTTGCAGGGATTAAGTAATCTCTGCTATGAAGTGGCTGATCGGTATAGGCAGCCAGACCCTAAAGACAAACGCCATTGAATGCTTTAAAAGAAGTTATGCATTGGAGATATTTGCTAATAATGTTAACACTTAAGTTTGTAACTTTGTTTATTTTTGCTAATTGGTAAAGTGACATTGTTTATGATGAAAAAATTACTTTTTGTTTTATTGCTTGTCTAAATTATAATGACCAAAACATGGGATTAAAGTGCTACAAACTTGGGATGTTTCTAATGACCAGAATATGGGATTAAAGTGTTACTGACTTGGAATGCTTCAAATAACCAGTATTACTTTAACTTTAATTGATCAATGCAAGTTTTATCTGTTGGTCTCAATGGAGTGTTAGAGGGGGGTGAATAGTATTAAAAATTTTAAGCTCAACCTTTTTTGAAAGATAAAACTTTTAATTGAGTAGAGGAAAATGAATATAAAGCTTCTAATGGCTAAAAGACACCAAGCAAGGAAAGTAAAGAGAAGTGGACTATGCAAAGCTATTTATAGTGGTTTGGTCCCCTTAACCTACATCTACTACTTTCATCTCTCAATCAAGAATTTTTAATCCAACTTCACTACACTAGTGGAATTTATGACTTTCACCAAACTTTTACAAGGTGAGCTCTCAACCCAAGCTTTAATCTCTTACAACAAGTTTTAAGGTGTTTCTTACATTTTAATTTTCCAAGAAAAAGAAGAAAAAGAAGTGCAACTAAGTACCTTTTGAGGTTGAATCTCAGCAAGTCATAGAGGTCTTTAATTTACAGATATGCCTAATCAATGTCAACTCCTCAACTTTGGGATTATATTTTATGAATATAAACCAATAGACCAAACAATCCAAAACACATACTTTGATGTTATCTCTACTATTTAAAATGGTAACAGAAAGTTGGCTAGTATCTGGCAAGTGACAAAAATGGAGATGGCGAGAAAGAGCTTGATGGCCAGATAAACAATAATTTTAAAATTTTTTTTAGATGGTAGGATAGAGAAAATCGAGACTATTTACTTTATTTGAAGTTATTTAAAAGCATTGCCATAAAGTTATGTTAAAAATTAAAAAAAATAGTTAAAATTATTATGAGGACTATTTTTGAATTGGGTTTATGAAAAATATTATTTCTCACAATTTCCTTTTCAATTAATGTATTGTATTGGACTCCAACAACTTCTGTAAAAAATCAAGTATGGATGAACCGTTTCATTTGTTTCTTCATTATACTCCAAAAGAAAAAAATGAATATAATAACTTTTGAGAAATTTTCAAGTTAAAGTTACTAGTTTTGACAACAACTTTTGTCCAAAAAAAAATGCCGAAAGAATGGATTGGGGGATGATCATTTTAAAATATAATATTATAGTTACTATTACTCAAGTGGTAGTAGCTTCTACATATTTTCCCTTCAGAAATCAAGTGTCATCGGCTTAGTTCTAATTTAGTTTAAGTGTCTGTACGAGCTTTGAGATTCCCCATTCCCACGAAGACTGCGACAATTAGTTTGGTAATTAAGAGAAGTAAACATATTAATCTACCACGTAATTCCACATTCTGGCAAGTACTAACTCCCAACCCTAGGCCAACGGCTACCCTACCAAAGTGAACCCTGCAACCCTGCCCTTTGCAGACCCTGCCATTTCCATACCCTTTAAAGCTCCATAAAATCGTACCATTGTTTTAAATGCCCTCTACCAACCTCCTCTTTGCTTCTTTCACCTACATTTGTTTTTCGCTTTTAAAAAAATATAAAGAAACCATAAACCAAAATTAAAATAATCGACTACTAACTACTGGTACTAAGCACCTTTCAAAAACGTAAAAAAGACAACTAGTGCTAACTAAATTAAAATAAATTAATTACATGCAATGGACTAATTAAATTATTTCTTGTTTACAATTCAAGCAATTTTTACTAGCCTTCAATTCTTAAACTCACAAACCCGACTTCCCCATCAGTCAAAACGTCACCATCCGGCGAGATGACGTCATCATTTTCCGGCGACAATATCGAAATTTCCACATCACGACCAGGAGAAGGTGACGGAGTAAAGTAAGGAGGCGATGCACAAGGCGTTGAGAACGGCGTCGCTTCCTCAACATCAACTACGACCGCCACGTCATCAGCCACTTCAACCGGACCCGAGAAGCGATCCCTCAAACAAACCCGGTTGTCGCTTTTCACTTCAGTCTGATCAGCAGAATTCTCGACGCTATCAGCTCCTTCTCTTTCCTCTTCTTTTATCGTATACAAAATCCTAACTGGTCCGTACGCCGCCTGCCACTTTGCCAACTCGTCATCATCTGCCTCCACGGTGGCTGCCTCCGAATCGGAAGCCGTAGGAGCCTCCGTAGGCGCCGGAGACACCACCCCAGACGAAGGTTCCACACGGGCTGGTTGGTTTTTCCAGCAGAAGAAGTAGAGAAGTTCCTTAGACGAAGCAGCGTAAAAAGGAGAATTCGAGAACTCCGAGTCCACGGAACCATTACCGCCGCTGACGATGCTGCGTTGACGGAACCTCCGTTTTCGCCAAAGGACGTAAACGAGCTCTATGATGAAAGCTAGAAGGCATGTTGCGAAGATAACGACGAGGGCTGTTTCAAGCTTGGTTGAAGCATTCATGGCGAGGTTTTTTCCTTTTAATCCTTCACTGTTTTAGCTTATGTTAAAACTATGAAGAGTCAACTGAGGATTTGTGGAGAAAGAAAGAGAAGGGGCTTTTTTGTGTTTTTGTCTTGATAGGAAAACTATGGATGTACTCTCTCGGAAATTGTAGAGACGAGGAAAGGAAAGCGAAGGTTGATGATGACGTAGCAGTAGGAAGGAGTGACCTGGCCCACTGGCCCTTTGGTTTGTTTAGGCTATAAAATTTTGAATTAGATGGGCGGATTGGAACTTATTTATTTCTAAGGTAAAATATTTCAATTTTTAAAATTTTAATTAAAATTTTAAATAATTTATTAATTTTTAAAATAGATATTTTATTTCAAAAAAATCTTTTTTCTGGTATATAGGTCTAACCAGTATCAATTGTTATTATTTTTATTAATTTGATGATGTCATAATATTAAAAAATAATTTTTTTTATTAATTTTAAAACTTATTATTATATAATTTTTATTAAAATTTTATTAATTAAAAAAAAGAGGAGCACCCAATTGGTGCTTCCCTCTCTTGGGCTCCTGAGGAGTGGGGAGTGATCAGTGCTCCTTTTTTTTTAATTTTCTTTTAAAAAAATGATAATTTTTTAAATTAATAAAAAAAATATTTTAATTCTTTTATCATATCTATTAACAGTGTTTATACTTTTAAAGTGGAATATTTGTTTTGAAAACTAATAAAGTTACTTGAAATTTTAATTAAAATTTAAGAGTACAAGGTTATTTTACCTTTATTTCTACAATCAAATTTGGGAAACAAACAAGAGATGATAATGGTTAATTTGTAAATCAATATCTTTTATTGTTTGACCTAATTAGATAGAACTGGATAAAATTGGTAAACTATTACTCTTGTTAATGCTTCGGATGATGCTAATGTGATATTGATGTCTCTCACAAAATCTTTATTTTTTAAGAATTTTTTTGCCATGTCAATTTCTTTATACCGTGTCATAAAAATCAAATTACATCAAATTGTAGAGTATAAGGAATAAATTGAACAAAATTTTATAATGTAGGAACATATTGGGTACTTCAATAATTTTTTGTTTCATGTTATATATGTGAATGTTGGTATTCCTTATAAACTAAAATAGTGTATAAAGTATTCGAAAATCTTAAAACACTGTAGTTAAATGTAATTTTTGCTTCTAATATGTAATGTATGAACATATTTTGTTTTGTTGAAATATTTATGCAATCCAAGAAAAACTATGTAATGAAGTGGTATTATTATATTAACTTCCCATTTGTACCAAAAATGCACAAACAAATTATATTGCTTAATTACCAAAAAGATTGAGTCTAGTTTAAAAAGAATTGTAAGATCATCGTTGTTGTCTAATTATAAAAACAATTGTAAGACCCAACTGTAGCAGTAGTCCCAAGGCCTTTCACTAACTCAACAAAAATAACCACAAATAACAGCAGCACAATAAAGCACACAGTAAATCATTAGACATTTTTTATGTTTCTTGAGATGGCAAATCAGCAATGGATGACTTCAATCTACTGTTTTACTTGTTTTGTGCAGTTTTTTTGTAGCAATAGCAACAAATTCGGTGTTTTAATGTCAAAAATAAAGCAATAGCATTATCAACACAAAGCAATTAGTTTTTTTCTCATCAATAGCACAAAATGTTAGATTACAGGGACTAAATTGACCAGTTTTAAGGTAAAGGAACTAAATTAACAAAAATGCTATAGTACATGGACTTCTTAAGTAGTTTGACCATTTTGAATTAGTTAGGCATTTTTAAACTTATTTATTTCTAGGGCCAAATTTGGGATCCAAATTGGAGATGACAATGGTTAATTTGTAAACCAATATTTTTTATTATTTGACCTAATTTGATAGAATAGGATACCTTATAATGGAGTTCAAATAAAGTTTGGATAATAAAATTATTACCTGTCAAACGTTCGATATAACAATCATAGGATACTTAATATCCAAACTTAACTTTTAATATTAAATTTTAGTTTTATATATTACGTTTTGCTTATAAATTACTTATAATTAATATAACACATACTAAAATCGATTACTTGTTTTGAATATGATTTTAAACATTAATTTATTAAATTAATTTTTATTAACAAGATATAATTGATTTCAAATTTATTTTTTATTTCAAATTCAAGTTTAAATTTTTTATGAGCATTAAAATAATCAGATTTATATATTAACTATTGATTTTTAATTGGATTCAAATAGGACTTGAGTAGTTAAATTTTAATTGGATTTGAGTTTAAATATCTCAAAATTAACATAAATCTTACCTATTACCTACCACATCTCAATTCTAAAGACATGACTGACATAAAGACCTACATGAGTGTAGCCCGTTAAGCCCCAAGCAAGCCTCATACATCTTTTACATATACTTATTCATTTACAATTCCATACATACATATATGGGTGTCTATGTACACCACTCAATTATGTCAATTAATAATAGTCATGCATAACCATAAGCATAATTCTTTCATCAATATTCATATGTTCACACACTCATAGTTGGCACGCTTCCTATGCCCCCAATCATCTATGGCCTCGTTACCATGGGCTTCACATGTCTTAAGCACCTCCATTGGTGCTTAACACAAACATTTAATACATTAGCAACATAAACATAGGTAGTCTCATTTTATTTACATAACCATGTTATCATCATAAACATGAAATAAACATAAAGACTCGACTTGACACATTGCTGAGTGTGTTACGACTCTAGAAGGCTCGAAGGAAAGCACTATCACACGTACCAAGTATGAGTTGAGCTACTCCTCTATAAGGTAGCAAGCCAAACGAGCTACTAATCTAAAACAAAAACAATAATCATCAGGTGTGAGTTATAAAAATTAATGAGTAAATGCAAAAAAGGGCCAAGCCAAAGGGGAAGAGCTTCTCCAACAATCCATAACTTAAAATAAGCATGAATTCATAGATAATCATCTCATTTCCTTCAAAAACACTTGAATAATGTTGTTACAAGTTAAAATCTTGTGATTTTAGTTGAATCTTAGTCACACAAAAGTTTGGATTGAAAGGGGAGCTTAAAGTCAAGTGAAAAGCCTTTTGGAAAAAGAAAACAAGAGGTTTTGTATCTTACGTATCGATATCTTCATGATAGGTATTGATTCTTTTCATCAAAAATGCTTTTTGGGTCACAAGTATTGATATTTTTTAAGGAAATATTGATACTTTGCATAGAGAATGCTTCTTAGGGCATTTTGTTTGCTAGGTATTGATATTTGTAGATCAAGTATCAATACTTTATTCATATAAACTTAGAAATTGGGCATTTTCCAGCACATTCAACTCTCTATAACCATTCTAACATCTATGCTTGCTATATCACTTAATAGTTCATCTGAATTACATGAAAATGTAACTTGTACATACATTCATAATGCAATTCAACAATATTACAATAACAACCACATCATCCATATTTCATAACATCGTGATCATTATGAATTTATTATGTAAGTCATGTAAATGAATGTCATGTAGGACTGGTACAATGTCACATCTTGTTTTCTAGAGGATCATGACTGACACTAAGTCTTACATGGGTACAGCCCACTAGGCCCTAGTAAGCCTCATAACCTTCATTTCATCATCAATCATTCATAGATACATGTATTCAACATAATGGCTAGAGACCCACATAACTAGTTCGTAAACATATAACATAAACATAATCATTCATCCATACTTGGCACCATCACACAATTATGGAACTTCTCAATATAAAGTTTGGAAATGTATCTCATTCATTTAAAAGTCTGTAAGCATATTTACATTTCATGTCAAAATTAGAATGCACTTTTATTGCTCATATGGGCCCTAAGGCCATCAACTATATCATTTATACATTTCCATATTAATATAATGACATTTAATGGCTTATCAACAATGAACAAGTATTATAAACAATACAAATAAAAACTGACCTGTCAAGTAGAACATGACCCCGCCTCCCTAAGCTTCAAAAAGGCTATTTTATCACTTATCGAAAAAATAACGGATCACATCTTGTGGCACTGGTGGCTGGTGAGCTATCATAGATTTGTAACAAAAATAGAAAAACTAACATGTGAGTCATAAAGACTTTATGAGTGAATACGAGAAAAGGACAACGTAAGGGAAAAGTTTTTGCAATAAAACATACTTTTCAAAAATAACATGAGTTTCATAAACATTCATATAGTTCCTTTCAATGCCCAATAATCATCATTTCAATCATTTCTCATAAATATAGTTTAAATCCAAGTTATGTAATCATTTGGATAAACAATTTTGTAGTGCCTTATACAAAAACATTTATGAGGAAGAAATGATAGATTCTTGTTCCTTTAAATACTGGTACCTTACCTTTGGTAGCACTACTAACCTTTCATTCATACCTAATATGGTGGGTTCCATTAATCACATTTGAGTATTTATTGTTTTTCTTTTTTTACTTACCATGCCTCTATATTGTCATTACATGTTCGTACATAGCTTAACATCCATCATAGCAACAATACGTTATAAGAATACAATATCTATCTTATTTACATCATCTTTCCAATAATCAATGGTGCCTGTCTCAACTTAGAATAGATAAAGGAATGATCACCATTACCTTGGATTTCCTTAGTTTTCAAAAGTGGCATACTAGCCTCACTTATGCTTGAGTGGTGTATGCCCCATTTAGGATGAATAGTAGAATAATCTGCACTGCCTCAGATTCTTTTTGAGCTAGTGTGAGAGGCACATTAGCCTCACCCGCATTTGAGTGGTCCTCGCCCCAACTAAGAACGGATAGTGGAACAATTCCCACTACCTCATATTGCCTTTTTCCTTTCTTGAGTGGCATATTAGCCTTACCCACATTACTCGTGACTTGAGGGTGACTAGTAACCGTAATATATTTCGCGAATTCATATTTACTATCATTAAATCATTTTATTCATAATTCATCATGTATGTAGAAGTTACATCACATACCATTTCATAATCATGCATTTCATGCTATGACACCTCTTTACTCAAGCATCACTATGGATGAGAACACCCACATCTGTTTAAGCACAT